ATATTGTAAAGATAATTGTTTATGTAAATGCTGAATTTAAATGTCTTGTAAAATGATAACTGTATTATAGAAAATATGACTATATAATAGAGTTCATATGTTGACAAAAAAAAAATCAATGCTTTAATTGTCTGGTAGTGTCTGCAGTTAAATTATTTGTGCAATATTTAATTTTATTTTTTTTTTCCAGACATCCCTTTATTTAAGTTTTTGCTAAATGGTGGACCATTTTACAAGCAAACAGTGGCAGAAATGGTGATTGTTACGTCATGAGACAGCACTGGAAGGCGTGAGTTTTACTGAAGCAGACCTTGGATCATAAGCTCTGTGTAGCTATGAAAATGACATTACAAGTCCTTATTCAGTGTTCTTAATAGGAGTTTTTCTAAAATCTCATCAGTTAATTTGTAATAACAAAATAGCAGTGGCTCGCTGTCTGAAGCATAATTGGTAGATATTTTTATTACAAGAAAATCTCATGTTTGTACTCGTAACACCTGAACATGTTAGGCTGATAATTCTCTATTCTTAGACAAATCAGATTAGTCTGACTATTTTACACTAAGTCCCCTAAGCAGAGTGTGAGACTTTATAAATCACAGCTTCACCTTGTACGTTGCTTGTGTTGTCTCATGAGCAGTCTAGAGACAGCAGCTCTGCCTGTAATTCTAAATGTGTTTAACTTTTAACACCGGAAATCTGAACTGTTTGATACTGGTTCTAGATTTGGATGCTGATTTTTTAACAGTTGCTGAAACAGTTCCGAAGAATGCAGATTTTTTTTTTTTTTAATTAATTGCTGCTGCTCTCACGGTTCCCTGTATATAAGTAGCAAGGTTTAGACTTTTTGCAGAATTGTACTTTGACTTAATATGGTTTTCAAGCAAGTCTCCAGTGGCTGCAAAGTATTTCTCATGCCCTTCCTTAAGCAAGGTATTGGTCAAATAGCATCCACGTGGCTTGAAGTTTAGCTGCATTTTTCGGTCACGTCAGAGGAAACTTTTGAATTGGACCCTTGGGAATGCTGAGAATCGAGGGAAGCAGCTTGCATCTTCCTCTCTGCATTCCAGACAGCAAATATTTTGTTACATCTCAGAACTGTAGCTATGATAGGCACTTGTGTGAAATACAGTTGAAATTCTTTGCTTATCGTACCATTGCCTCTGTTGGGAGAGGTTTTTTCACATCTGTGTGTGTTCTCATTTGTGTTAGAGAACTGTGTTCCTCCTTGTGTATTCAGTGGCCTGAGAGAGGCGAAGGATGTCAGTGGTGAGAAATTGCTGCTGGAGAAAAGCCTCTGGGTAACAGGACTTTTCAATGGGTGGTAGGGATTTATTCCTCGTTGGGAGAACAGTTAGTCCTCACTAGAGTTACACAGGCAAGGGTGTGTTTGTGGAAAAGCCTACTCAGTTTGAGATTCAGGCAGTTATTCTGAGGATTTCCATAAAGCCATAGAGTAAGAACACTAAAATTTACTGAACTCCCCATCTGTCATAGAAACTTTTAACTGCTTTAATAAAAGAAAGACTTTTTTTCCTCCCTGGTTTTTTTTTTTGGTCTGTGGGAAGATGGGAAGGAACTCCTGTGTTAGTCTTAGTTTCAGCTTCAGAAACCAAGGTGAAACCATTTTTCTTCTAAAAACCTCAAGAATTTAACATTTTGCCTTGATGTGGAAGTGTGATTGGTTGCTCCAAATCCAAAAACCTGCCAAAAGACCCAACCAACTACACAAAAAAAAAAAAAAGCAAAAAACCACTCCATAAAAAAGCATTTGTTGGAATTAACTGATTTGCTGCATGTTAGAATTACGGTGTTCAAATGTTAGAAATTCAGCCTTTTCTTAAAAAAAGGAAACATTTTATGATGGTCAGAGATTAGAAATTCAGCTTTTACCTACTGCAGCCAATCAATAAATTGATGATTTTCACCTTTTGTGGTTTTTTTTTTTTTTTTTTAACAGACAAATGAAACACTCTTTAAAAAAAAAAAAAAAAAAAAAAAAAGAAAAAAGAATTCTTTCAACTTTTATTTGGAGGTGTTGCTGCCAGCGCTTCTGAGGGTAACATTTCCTGTGCAGTGTGTGAGCAGATACTCCTCACGGGCTGACAGAGCTGCAGTGTTGATTATGTCTGGGACTAACCTGAGTTTTCAGGAAGAGTTTAGGTGAATGAGAAACTTTAACATCCAGTCAGCGGTAATTAGCTATAGAAACGTTTGTCAGAGTATTAGATTTTTACATTTTACAAAAGTAGGTGTAAATATTTGTATTGACTATTTTTGGATTCTTTATTCCCATTTAGTGCAACCTTTACTATCACATGAGAATCTCATAACCTACGGTGTCTTAATCATCAAAGCCTTAGAAAACAGAGTGGCTACTGGAAGGTAACGTAGACTTCAAAGTATTATGTTTTGATCATCTTTGATATAAATCTTGTAAGCTTGTTTTGAAGAAACATTAATGTCTGCTCAGACACCTTAAGTTCATTGCTGTTACTGAGATTGCCTAGAAAAGTAACATGCAAAATGAAAGGACTTAGGTCAGAATACTAATGTAAATTTCTACTTAAATTTACTATTTTAGAACAGTTCTTCTGAAAGCAACTAATTTATACCTCGTTTTCAGTGCATAGTGTGAAGAAATGCTATTTAAAGGGTTACTCAAACTATACTGTTCAGAGGGGGCTGATTTCCTAGTCTGGGGGAGGTAATGGAAAGGTTTCCATGAACGTAGGTGGCTTTGGATAAGGTGTAGACTAGGCTGGTACTCGCGTCTCGAGGCAGTGTGTCCCATCCTTCATCAACACAGGAGATGATGTTCAAAATCCCAGGTCTCCATTCACGAGAGGGAGGTTTACTTCTGTTAATTCTGTTGTCCTGTTACAAGTTTGTTGCCATTTATGTCAGTATGTTTTACTAAGGGCTATAATGATGATGAACATGAAATGAAATGGGTTAACGCATGGTGAAATTGGAACCCTTGGTTTCTAGTTGTAAAATGTGTATAAACTGTAAAAAGCATGGGTCAGGGTCAAATAAAATTTTATGCTAAGATTTGTGCTCTGGTTGTCTTTGAGAAAAGACTTTAGAATAATTTTGTGGTGGGTAGGAGGCCAAGAACCCCGTGGTATGAAAGGAAAACGTTGCTAATGTTGGAAGATGTAAAATGTAGTTTGAATTTAGAGTGATGAATGCTAGTTAAAATCTTGTCATGGGTATTTAGGTACAAGAGGCTGGTTTATTTATAAATGCGCTGCAGTAATGGGATTAAAGGTAATGTGAAATTTAAGCTAATTTCCTTTATCCTAGTAAAACAGCTTTCTGATTCAGCCGTGTCTTGAGGGGGTTCAGCACATCTGCCGCTGTCTGCTGGACACCCTCGGGGTCCCGGTATCAGGCTGGGCGTTTGTCACCGACGTCTGGACCTCCTTTCCCACCTGTAAAGGAGGGGAGAAGAGGTCTTTGTGCGCTGGAAGGGTTCAAAGGACTTGATGTCGGTGCCCCCGGCCCCTGTCGAGGCAGGGATCGAGTTAAACCGGCGGATATTGTGTGTTGCCGGTGAAGGCAGCGCAGGAGCGATGCCGGGCGCCGGAGGGGGGATTCATTCCCCGCTCCGCTCGCTGGCAGGCAGCGGGGGCCGTGGCACCGCGCTCGCCGGGTGAAGGCCGGGGCTCCCGGGGCGGAGGACGCCTCACACAATGGGGTGCCCGGAGGCGGCGCTTCCTGCGGAGCGGCAGCAGGAAAAGGCCTTTTTCCTCCACA